ATTTTTTTTCAGTTTTGTATGGGGAAAAAAGTCAGAATTCGGACTTTAATCTCAGATTTCTGAATTTTTTCCTCAGAATTCTGACTTTAAATAAAATTTAAAAATCTGTTAACTTCTTTGTTTTTGTTTTTTCAGTGGCCCTATTCCTCTTCCGTACACTTTCGACCTCAATTAGAGAAAAAATGCACTTACTTTAAGAAAAAATTACTTCCATTTTTTGCAGTGCAGCTCCCTCATTTTGGGAAATCCTCGCCTATTTTTCATACCCAAATTGAAAAGCAAATAACTTTGGAACTATAAGCCTAAATTACACGTGCAATACATCATTTGAAAGCTAAAACCTTCTAGTTCATTGGGTGAGTAAAACAGCCCAAGCTGCATCAGTTCAAACATGAAACAAAATTGTTGTTTTTTTTATTCTCGAAGATAATAGGTATTATTTGAACAGCAGTAATTAAGACATTTTTTTGGAAATAAGCAGGTTTTATTGTATTATATTTGTTCTACATCATGTCAGCCAGAAATGCAGAAAATTCAGACCTCCAGCTGCAACAGTTCCAGAGCTGTGAGGTTTAGAACTTTTGGAGTCACCAGCATCACCAAACTTCTCCAAATTGTGCCAAATTCTTTTACTGAACTATTTGACCCCATAGAAAAACTCTGAAGCATTTTGACAGCCACAAAACATTTATGAAGCAAGTATTTTCCACTTGTTTTCAGAATATATAACAAAATGTAACATTTTTACACCTATAATAGCATAAAAATCTATAAAAAAAAAATAGTGAAACTGCTGCTTTTCAAGCTAAAATAAGCCACAGTGCTGTTTTTCCAGCCTTATTTTGTAATAAAACAAAATCAGTGTCCAAACTTATAAAAAATATGACTGTTGTTTTTACTCAGCTTGGAGCTGCGCGCATCAATCCAGCCACTGCTGTGAGTTTCACTCTTACGCAAGCTGGTAAAACGGCTCTGCATTAAACTCTGGAAATAATCGAATAATAGACAAGTCGTTTTTTCTTAAAATAAGTGCTTTTTTTCCTAGATTGAGGAGGTAAAAGAGACATTTTGCCAATTGAACAAGACAATTTACGCTTAAAATAAGAAAACACAATTGCATTGTCTTATTTCACACGCATATCATCTAATTATCTCATTTTAAGAGTAAAAATACTCATTCCATTGCAAACTGTCTTATTAACCTTCTCATATTAAGGGTAAAAACACTTAATCTAAGAAATTTTTACTTATTTCTAGATCATTTTTGCAGTGTATAAGTGCATTATTCTTGAATTGAGGATGTACACTGCAAAAATTATCTAGAAATAAGCAAAAATGTATTAAATTAAGTGTATTTACCCCTTGATTTGAATAGGTAAATTTGACAATTTGCCAATGGAATCAGTATTTTTACACTTAAAATAAGATAATTAGATAATATGCACTTGGAATAAGACAATGCAGTTGTGTTTTCTTATTTTAAATCTACATTGTCTTGTTCCATTGGGAAAATATCTCTTTAATCTCCTCAATTTAAGAAGAAATGCACTTATTTTAAGAAAAACTTATCTAGATTTTGATTTTTTCCAGTGTAAGTGAGACGCTTTGCAAATGGAACAAGACAATTTTCATTTAAAATAAGAAAAAAACAATCTTATTTTAAGAGTACAAATACTAATTTCATTGGCAAATCATCTTATTTACTTGCTCAAATTAAGGGTAAATACACTTAATTGAAGAAAGTTCTAGATCGTTTTTGCAGCGCAGACTTTTGAAGAGAAAACATTCAACATCACGATCCTTTAATTGGTTGTTTGATCCGAGCTGGGCTCTGTTATCCGTCCCAGTGTTTGTTTTGGAGAGGCGAGCTGCAGGATTTTATCACCGCAGCGCTGGACAGACTTCAGACGCATGAGCGGAGAATTTTATTCCATGTTTTTATGTTTTGAAGTGGCGCTCAGCTGCTGGAGAAAGGCTGTTTTCCTCCTGAAACACGGCTCAGATTTCTATTCTAAGAGCCTAACTTTAAACAAACCCGAAGGCTGCAGCTCATCTAATGATGTCAGAGCGACTGCAGAGCGTTATAGGGTCGTTAAACCGCTTTCATATTCGCTGCTCTCTCTTTCAGAGTGGGACAAAATCTGTTCAGTCTGCAAACCTGGAAAAAATTAAAACTCCTGTGCATTTTTTACAGGCTGGTAGCAAAAAGAAAAATCCTTAGGATGGGTCGAATGAGAGCAGAAAGTTAACCCCCCTGTTCATCCTCGCAGGCGTCCATCAGGCTGATGAAGCAGAGATGAAGGCTCTGGCCTCCACGCCGTTCCAACATCACATCTACAGGGCGGCCAACTTTGACACGATCCAGGTCGTCCAGAACGACTTCATCACTCAGATCTGCTCCAGCGTAGAGGATCAGCTCAGCTTACTGACCAGCGGGGAAGAAGGTGAGATTCCTCCATTATTTTAACAGGAAGTTTGGATCCCTGGCAGTGATTGGTTCTTCTAAAGGTTTATTCTGAGTAATGAACAGGATACTTCAACAGAGGTTCCCAAAGTCAGGGGCACGCCATTTAGGGGAGTTCAAACAGGGGCGAACTCAGGATATTTTGAGCTCTAAGCAAAGATAGGCAGGGGCCCTCTGAATGGAGAACACATTCTCCACATAGAGAAATGTTAATAGAGTAGAC